AGTGTGTGTGTGTGTGTACATACATACATACATATATATATGTACGCACACACACATATTCCTCCCCACCCCCAAGTCCACTTCCAAAGCAACAACCAAAGAAACTTTGGATTTGCTATGGTCTGTTCCAAAGCTGCATTCTGTTCTTCAGTGCATGGTATATATTAATGAAGTTTTTCATACACCCCCTAGATGACTGCATGTCTGTTTTCCATTATCTGAAGTATATCTTAATATCATAATTGTAGACATGAGCCATTTTTCTGTATACAGTACAAATGAACAAAGTTGATTTTAGGGGAGGCTTTGGTGTTCGTGCCATTCCAGTGTGTTTTGTTCAATCACAGCCCTTTCAATCACAGTAGATCTACTTCTGAGCATTTACATCACAAAGGGAAAAACATGACTGCAGCAGGTTGTCGACTTGTTAGCAATGATGAAATCAATATTGTCTCATGTCTGCTGTGCAGAGCTTCCTGCTGTTCAGATATTAAATATATTACAGCACTACTAGATGTTTTCGGAAAAACTTCCCTAATAATTGAACACCACCGTCTAAGCAGTGTTCCTGTCTAACCTGCAGTGTGTTCTGTGAAGTGCAAATGCAGCATCTCATTGGTCTTGTTTACTGTGGCTCCAATCAGTGTGACTGCAATCTGTGCAAATAAGTTACTCTTTCTTAATCTTCAAGGAAGTTAAGGAAGGATGTAGAGGTTAGTAAGTTGAAGTTCATGTCTACTTTGGACTCTGCAGTCTTAACAGAATTCTAATGAATGCATTAGTAACTCGTTACACATAGTTGGATACTGAGTAAATATGTGCAAAGTTTTCAAGAAAAGTGACTTCCTTGCTCAGAGATCTATGGAGGGCTGAGACAGGCATGGAGGGGTGCTGCCAGCCTTGCTTTGAACAGGAACTAAACGGACTATTTCCTGCCATTGCCTTGGGGGACAAGATGCATCTTAGCTGCTTGCCCCTGCATAGATACTTTGTGTTGATTGCCATTTATTCTTTCATTGCTGACTCTGGTGATTTGGCAGGCTGCCTGTTTTCTTACCCCAAAAGAAAATTGGTTGAGCGCTACCAATAGCAAACTGGCATCCGCCGAGTTGGATTGGGCCATGTTCTCAGCTAGCACTTTCTTTAGCATGATTTTTTCCTGTTCAAATATAAAGAACTGACGAGTAGTTGAGTTGAAAACCATGCAGGTGTATTAAACAGGAACTCCGCCTGGGCGGGGTATCTTTCCTCGCTTCTCCAAGAGGAGTTGCAAAATTAGAGTTGGTAGCTGTGCAGATCACTTTGAAAACAAGAGTCTGAAGATCTGTGGTAAAAGCTGGTCCCAGCTGCTGTTCTGAAGGCAATGTGCTTTTCTAGTCTTGGAGGAGGAACCTTCCTGGGCCTCTGCTGCTTGCTGACTGGCTGTGAAACCTTCGAAGAAGCACTAGAAATGGCCGCAAAAGGAGACAGCACCAATGTGGATAAACTGGTGAAAGATATTTACGGAGGAGACTACGAGCGGTTTGGCCTTCAAGGGTCTGCTGTAGCCTCAAGGTATGCTTGGGGCTGTTTCTAAGGAGTTCTGGGAAACTTGGTGTGCATGCTGAACTGCGTGCGTAATGATGTGCTGTGTCCATGTGGGACTGTCACTCTGAATGGATCATGTGCTTTGCACTTAGATCTCTCACCTACTTCTTACTGTGTGTTTTTTCTAAGCAGGTATAAGCAATGCTTTAGCTAGCTTGCCTCCATTAAATTATTTTAAAAGTATCTTTGCTCATTGCTTTGTCTTTCCAATGTGATCACTTCTTACATATTACTTTATGTCTAAAGCTGATGGATGTCAAATCCGAACAAAACTAATTATTTAATTTAATACCTTTCTAAGGGCTTTCAACACTCTTAAATGCCTCATTAAAAGGAATGATTTTCCTCACACAGCTTTGGCCATATGATGAGTAAAGAAAAGAGGGATTCCATCAGTAAAGAGGACTTGGCCAGAGCTACTTTGGTTACCATCACCAACAACATAGGTTCTATTGCTCGCATGTGTGCACTGAATGAGGTAAGACAATATATTAACTATAAGCTTAAGCCCTTTAAAAAGAGCTTACTAAGATTATCAGAACACAAAAATGCAAATTGCTGGTATAGTAGGTATGTAATTGCTTGGTAAATACGCGTGTATTTAATGCTGTGTCTTAAATGCTGTCTTTAATTCTTGTGATTTGTCATGTATGCTGTGGTGCAAAGAGTAAGATACTTTGAGCTTTGAAAGTAGGGAAGAGGGGAGAAAAGTTGACTGTAAAGCTCTCCTTGAATGATTGATGCATAGAGCAGTACAATTGTTCTTGAACTGTACTCAATAGATATCAGTGCCTTTAATCCAAATTAATACTCTTAACTACTTCTTTGTTATTAACAGATGATATATTGTGACACTTTATTTTTAAACAAAACAAAAATAAGTAGGGATTTTTTGTGAGCTGCAAGTTGCATCCATTAGTATTACTTGGTAACTGACTGCTTTTGTCTAATCTCTATGAATTTATCTAAAATTTTGGGGGGTACATTAATGATTTTAGCTCTACAACATTCGCTGGTTAGAATAAAAGTTGCTTTTTTTTTTTTTTTAATCAAACAAAACACCAAAGAAACCCCCTAAACTGCCACCTTATGACTTTATTGTGTGCAACTTAATTTTTTACTTTATGAGAAACAGCAGACAACTAATCACCAGTAGTTTTTTATAAGCCTTTGTCATATCTCCCTCTTGATTTATTTTTTTTAAAGACAAAAATTCCTAATGCTTAATCTCTCCTCTATGGGAGAGACAGTTACTCTTTACCAGTGTTTCATTTTGCCTCTTTAATATTTATGGTTCTAATTTTTAGATGAAATTATAGGTCTTTATGTAGTATGTGGAAAGTGGTTGGACAATGGAATTGTGATTGCATACTGATAAATCTTGCAGTCAGTTCCTTTACTAACAGTTTTTAACACCTGATTTTTGTGAGCGTGAGCTCCTACCTTTGAGAAACCATCTACAGTCTCTTCAGTCTTTCTTGAGTGGTGCTGGCTGATCTAGAGCCTGTTCTTGTGTCTAAATACTAAATTCTTTCCCCCTTCTGTGTCTTCACTTTTTAAATTTCAGTTTCATCTACTATGTTATGGCTCAGTCATTAAGTCTCTTCAGCATTGCTATGCTGTTCATTTTTTATTTGATTCTCCCAAGTAACTTTGTATGTCAAGTTATGTTTGTTGCTAATATCCCTTTCTAGAGCACTTCTGAAATATTTTGAACGGCACAAGTCTCTGTCTGTGCTCCTATCAAATGCTACAGATAACATCCTTTTATTGTGAAAAGTGACTATATACCTTTTTTTGGCAATTTGACTTTCTCAGTCGTGATGATTCTCTTTCGGTGTTCTCTTTGCTTTCAGCTTCTTTACAGTGTTGCCTTGTGGCATGGAGTTCAAGCAGCATTGTACAGGGCTATCAAAGCATGGAGAGTTGCAGCAGGGAACCACATGCGATGCATTCAGAGGAGGAAATAGGCTACTAATGCTTCTGAGTCATTGTGGAAAAGTTGCTAACTTTTTTTTTGTCGTGGATGGGCTTATTTAAACTGGACGTGATCCACAGAATTTTATGGAGTAATGTGGCTTGATCTGTTAAGTATTCTTCACGTCCCAGACAATGTCAAAGCAGAATTTCTCCAACATTTGAGAAACAAATTATTCCATGGTTTTAGAGAAGAACTTTATTTAGTAGCTTTATGTTAGTAAAAAAAAATAAATAAAGAACATTGAAACACGGTATCACTGCAAGTCAGCTACAATCCAGATAGCATTACTACTTTCTTCAGAGCAAGCTACTATTCTGTTAAATACTCCAGACACATAAATTGTCATTGTGAGTTACAGCTGTATCTTCCAACAAGGCTAGTGAATGAAACATCTGAGTGAGAGCTCTATGCTTAAAAACCAGTTGAATTTGATATGTTATTTTGTGGAATGTATGCATTAGATTTAGGGTTATGGTAAAGCTCTCTTTGACAAAATCAATTTATGCCCTGAAGCGTGAGGTGTTTTTTTGTGTGGTTTTTTTTTTTTGCAATTGCAGCTTTAATATTGTGTTGAAAATGACTTGCATATGTGCAGAAAACATGAGGCTGGGGAATAAATGAAATATTCGTTCTGCAAAACTTCAAAGAAAAGGTTGCTTGCACAAAGTTGGCAGTAGGGTAAAAAAAATTCCAGAGTCTGGAACCATTTGGCTACACATCATTTGAAACAGTCTGTTGTAGGCACAACAGAACTACATAAAGGAAACCAATCTCCATCATTTATACTTTCCATACAAGCAGAACATGTAAGCTGCATCTGAACAAGCCTTCTTGCAAAAGTATGTGCAAGTTGTTTCTGTGTTGCATTGGTATAGATTCCACTGTTCAATTGAATTGGCAAATGTGTATATGCTATGTTTAAAGGCATAGTATAATTTTCTACTGCAGGGTAGTTGAACAACTTAGCAAAGCCCCAGGATGGAAGAGTGCATGTCTTTTCCATGATGTTGTAATTTGGTTAGCTTAAGCAAGAGTTTCATCACCAACCCTCATCGGTTTAAGGGCTCTGTCTTTCAGCTTTGAATATTTCATCTGTTAACAATTCTAAGTTAATAGGCAAGACCCTCTTAAGAGATGAAATAGCATGCCTTCGTTTTCAAAGCCCTGAGAAATGCTAAAGCTGTTTTCTGTTCAATTCCAAAATCTGGGAAACTAACAATTTTTAACCTTGACAAGCAAAGGAATGTTGGAAAATAGTTGATAGAAAACTTGTGTGCTGACAGACACTGCTATTCTAGTAGATAATGACTACTATTTTTGGATTTAACGGTTTAGTAATTTTTACAGTCAGTGTTAAGTATTGCTTGCTTGAATTTAAGATATGAGTAGCTTCGTGTTTATGTTCAGGAAAAAGAAATTTGGGAAATGAAGTTCTAATCAATTTTATGGTACTGACTTACAGGAAAATAATTAGTTACATGTTTATCCCTCCTTTGTTAGAGATGATTCCAGAGCTAGAACTGCTTTGTCAGAGGATGCAGAGTCCCCTTGGCCATGTTTAATAGCAGCCTTCTGAAACTGGAGAAGCTCTTATTTTCAGCGATATAATTTACTAGGAAAGCGTATTGAATGCATGCTGATGTGTCTGCAGAGTATAAGTGGATAGATGACTACAATCCTGAATTATTTAATTAAAGTTTGTGTGTTGCTGTGTTTGATTTGAGAAGGATGATCAGAAATGAAACTCTTAAGTCACTGGAGACTGAATAAATGCCTCACTGCATCTGGATACCAGCACTGTCCGGTACTGAGCCTTCAGGTGAAAGTGTTGTGTGTGGTGTGTCACACACACAGTACCGGACACTACAAACCTGCTGTTTGTAGGGAAATAACTGCTGCAGAACAGAGTGCCAGGCCTACTCAGTGCTTGGTAATGCTGGTCTCAGCAGGTTTTTGCTGTTAATTTTCATTAGAGGGTTGTGAGGATGTGTTCTAACATTCCCTCAAGGCTCCTTGAAGAGCTTATGTCTCTAGGATTTGGTCTCCTACCAAATCTTCTACAGCAGTTCTAGCGTATGGTGAGCATCATGTGCAGCATGCCAGCTCAGAATGCACATACAGATGTTTTTGTGCATAACTGGTGCAACAGGGTCCAGTAAAATAGTTACTGGCATTAAGTACCAGAGCTGTTGGTAATGAGCCCCGGTGTGTACGCAAGTAAGGATGTGGTATGGCTTTTGCACTGACAGTGTGGCACTGATTGTCTGGAAAACCTAAGCTTCTTTATAAATGCTGAGTGCAAGTGAGATCTGAAACGAAGGAGTGCGATACGCATGAAGTGTCATGTTGGCTATGGTTCACTTGCTTTTTGTGAACAGAACCGCAGTTGAGATAATAGGTACTGAAAGATGATTCATCCACTCTCTAAGGTAATTCTCGTCAGATACCTTTCAGAGGTTCTCCACTTGTATTCTCCAGTGCATCTGCGTCATATACAAACAATGAATCCTGTTTGCTGGGAAGGTTGTGGGCTTCTAAACATGCATTCACCATCTGTGGTACCAGCCTCTCTCTAGAGAAAAAAAAAAAAAAAAAAAAGAAAAAAAACTTATTTTATTGCAACACATCTACTTAGTGGTCAGTGACTAAAATTATTTGGGGGCTTTTTGGTCTGGAGAATTTAAATGTAACCCAAAATACCCGTATAATTTTATAGTGGAGACAGAAGTATATGTTGAATGGGACAAATAACGCAGCTGAATGTAATTTTTGCTGGTCTGCTTTTCAATTTTACAGAACATTGACAAGGTGGTGTTTGTTGGAAACTTTCTCAGAATTAATATGATTTCTATGAAGGTGCTAGCATATGCTATGGATTATTGGTCCAAGGGACAGCTGAAAGCTCTGTTTTTGGAACATGAGGTAAGGAAATAAGTGTTGAAATTTCTTCTATTTATAAGGGAAAAATTCTTGTGGTTCCTTACTTTTTTGATGAAGTTAAAAGGGAGAAACTCAATGGTATTGCTTTGAAGTGAAAGCAAAAACTAAGTTCTGTATAAATACCATTTAATTATGAGTTCTTTTAAAAATATCCCTCATTAGCTCCATGGCTTTACCACTAATCTTGTGGTGTTTATTGCTAAACATCACACATGCTTCTTGACCCTACTAACAACTGTGTTGTGTGTGGCATTATATATGAGCCTCAACTAGAATGAATTTCAGCAAGTGGTTCTGAGGGGACTGTCGGATGGTTATGTTCAGAATGGAAACTGCACTGCCTCAGCACACCATCACTGTAGTGGTTCTGTTGTTTTTCAACAGTTTTAGAGAACTGTGTGAGGTTTCTCACGATAAAATGTTCTGCTGGACCTAAACAATATTGTATTAAATCGTAATTCAGATAGAGCAAATGCTTGGCACAGTGGGGCTGATCTTGTAAGAAAGGTCTTTTAATTGTCTTACTAAAACTGAAAGCTTTGCATGATCATGCTTCTGTCTTATTTTGGAATTTGATTGTCTTTTGTTTTGTTTTTGCTTGTTTGAAGGGTTATTTTGGAGCTGTTGGGGCTCTTCTAGAATTGCTTAAAATGACAGATGATCAGTGATGAAGCTGTCTGAAGAGATTTTTACTGCAGATGCTGCTGGATAAGAGCGGAAGCCACTACAAGGATGGAAATGAAGCCATTATGATAGTTCTACCTGCTGGATTTGTAAATAATTTAAAATCCTTTTAGCTGATCTCTAACTTCTGGGTTTTGAGCTTAACTTCAAAATTCATACGGGGAATACTGAGATTTTTTTTCTGTACACCGTATTTTTTAGGGGAAAAATGTGCAACGTGGCCAAACATACAGATTTTATGGAGTTATTTTAAAAAGTGGATACTGTTCAATGTAGGACCTGTGGTACTAGGCATCTGCTTTTCTTCTGGGGTTTACTGATTAGTGCGGTAATTTTAACTTCATTTAGTAATCACTCTAGGAGATTTTTATCTTATTTTCATGACGTTTCATGATTTGTTCTTGGTTTCAAATGAAACTACAAAGCTGATGCATTTTACTGTGAAAACTAGTCATTGATTTGTTGCCTTTCCTTTCCTCGTTAGATGAGACACACTTTTATTTAACAGCTTTCCCTTACCCTGCCAAAAATAAATAAATAAATGAGCTGCTTGGCAAGACTGCAAGAAAACCTGGGGGGAGTGTGTGTGTTTAAACACTAAATTTTCAGTGCTCCTGACTTTAAAGATCAGGAACAGACTGGTAACTGGTTTTGTAGTACTGTCCTTTTTATTGGAAATTGTAAACAATGCAAAGGAGAATTTTAATTATTGGCTTGATACTGAAATGAAATTGTTTCTTTTGAAAAAACTCTGATCTATATGGAGAGTTCCATAGTACAGATGTTGTTTATGTATCGTACATACTTGGTGTTAGATGACAAAGGGAGGAGATTGTTTCAATTTATTTGAAGACTTTTCTGCAGTTTCTAAGTTGATCATAATTGAAAACAACTGATAACTGCATTATTCAAAGCCCAGTTTCTAAAACTAGAAAATCACTCACTAATGTTTTTTTGGTTTTTAAGCTAATGCCAACTTTCCCTCTCGAACACTAAGGTTTGAGTGTTTATCCCAGTGCAGTATTTTCTACATTGGTTTCATTGGTGGACCTCTCTAAATTTTTTCAGTTGAATTGAGACCACTTTGAAATCTGTGTACTTGATTGCGCATGGCATGTGTGAACTAGCTTTTCCTAGACACTTTGAAGGCTCATAAATCAGAGGCTGAAAACCAGTCCATAAATTATTTTGTCTTGTAAAACTGTATGTGATGTCACATAATGTAAAGGGCTCATCAGAGGGACAGTGTAAAATTCAGACTTACGTATTATCCAATATATTTTTGGAAGGGGGTTAACTCACTTTTTTAAGTCATTAATTTCCATATCTCACAAATGGTGAAATGAATTCATATTAGTTGAAGTGTTACCTTGTCTGATGGAAATAAAGACCACCACTGTTTTGACTGTTTTAATGCATCTGTGGAATTCATTTCTTGAAATTGGTTATATGAAATGCATAACTGTTTCATGGCACATGGCAAGTTACTTTCATGATAACTCTTTGGTACTTTTTTAAAAAAATCTTCTGTTACATTCCTTTCGTCTTTGAAGCTGTAGCTGTTCAAAACTGTTTTTTTTGTAGTTTGTAAATAACTACATGAGAATGTTAGCATGTTGTAGTTGATCCTTCCTGTAACACTTCATGGGAGATGAGTGGCGTTAGTTCTGCTCAGTGCCTCTCATTTTTCTTGAACGAAATGAAACTTACTAGTTTATTTGTGAAGTTTTACCTGCAACTTAAGGATTCTTTTTTTTCCTCAAAGGAATATTCAGAGGATACAAAACTGTATATACAATGTCATATGTAGAGCTATTTCAGTTTCTAGAAATACTGGAAAGAGTTTAGAAATGGGATTTTTGAAGTGTGATCTTTGGTCATAGAATCTTCCACTGGTGTTGATCCAGGACAAGATAATTCTGGACTTCTACCGGGTGGTGATAAATGTTTGTAAGCCTTTTCCTTCAGAGGGGGGAAAAAAGCAACACCACATTTTGGTTCTTTTTTTTTTCTTCTTGTTTTTATTTACCAGACTAGTGTTGTAGACCTTCAAGTTCATTTGGTATGCAGTTCTTCATTCCTGTGTGAAGTTACAATGTCAAGTATTATTGACAATCTCCTAGTGAGACAATTTGAGAACTGTAAAGCTGTTTGAACAACAGTTAGTGTTTTAGTTCAAAATATGAACTGCTTGCTGTTGCTCTCTCCTCTCCCTTGAGTGTTGCTATCAGGAAGTGTAAGACAAGCAGATTTGCTAGTGGCTGCTCTTACACAGTTGTCACCTGCCCCTAGTGAGGGGAGAAGGTCCAGGCAGCAGAGCAGAAAAGACGTGTGGGTGGGTAAGATGTGAATGTTGTTCATGTGCCTACATACTGCTAATGCTGTCTTCACTTGTTTTTTCAATCTGATGGTTGCTTCTGGAAGTCTGTGGGAAGGAATATTCCCCTGAAGGAAAGAAGGTTTGTTTTTCTGTAACAGTTGCAATAACTCTGAAATATCAGGCTGCTGTCGGGACTGCTTAACCAACTCCCTTTCTTCCACCCACTTATTTAATCTAGATTGTGTCAGTGTGCCTGGTCTTGCCTAGCAGAAATCAGATGAACATCATTGTTACTACATTCAGTAACAAAAATCATGTAGGTTACGTGTAGAAAAGAGCTCTAAAGATTTTCTTATGGGTAGTTTACATTGTATCAAAACTACTATTTCTCTTTAATCAGTTTTTATAAAACACATGTATAACTTTATAGCCTTTTAGTTCAGTTTGCGGTTTATACACAAAGGAATAAATGAACGAGCAGAATTTTTGCCAACTATCTTTTCATGGCTCTCTTTAACCAGACTTCAGTGTTAAGAGTTGCCTGCACTTCGTAGGACAAACAGCAGAGGGAAGCATTACATCAGCAATATAACTGTGCTTTGCTGAAGGGAGAGCATAGGGCAACTTGGGGAGGGGGGCGGGAAGGGTATTTTTTTTTAGTTTTAGTTTGTTTCCCTCCCTTTTCCTCCAGAAAAGATTTGATCTTTCCCTCCAAAGTCTTTTTAGGAGATCTGATTTGGGCATGTTTGTCACTGATATTCCTCTATTAGCATTTATAGTTACGTGATGAAAGAATGTAAGGTTAAGTAAACAAATAGGAAGTATCGGTGCTTTTAAATGCAAATCTTCAACAAAAAGATGCAAAACTCTTGGGGGGGGGGGGGGGAACCCACAACCTTAGCAAGTCATTCAGGAAAATACATTCATAGACTGCAATATGAACAAATGCAGGCTTTGCGATTGAAGAAGGAAAGCACAGTTCCTAACATTAGCCGTAAGTTTCGGAGGACTGTCAGTCAGGTAAGTTAATCACAGCAGTTTTATGCAGATCATGGAATGAAACTAACTTCAAAATGTTGAACTGAGACTTAAGGTACTTAATATGCCAGGTGCCACAGCAGAGAGACTGGGGGGAAAAATGCTCTGAAGTATAAAACACATTGAAAAGGGTCTGAATAGAGTCTTACTTGATGATGTGGTGAACAAAAGAACTTTGTGCTTTTCCAATAAGTGACACAAACTGGCATTTTGAGCAAGCAAAGTTCTGTTGCACCACTGTGGAAGGTCTGTCTAAAGAACTTTTAAATAGCAGGTCTGTGAATCTTTGTGTTTGGAGAAGGGTGAGGGTGAAGGAGCAGACTTTTCTGGGGAAGATCAGTGAGTCTGCAGGTTTAGTACATATTCAAAATGCTTGTTTCAGTATAAATTGATGAGGTCTCTTAACAAACCAGGCTGTGTTAATCTAGCTTGTTTCTGAATCATGCTAAGGTTAAGTGTTAATGTGAGTTGGAGTAGAGTGAACAGGATTCCTTGTATTCTCTTGTGATGGCTTCTGCCAAGTTCCACCGCTTTTGGTTGCGAACACTTGTTGAAATGCATGCTGCTCCCATTGTTCTTCCCCACACCCTGATTTTTAACAGTTTTGATGGAAAGTCAAATTATGTCCCATAGGAAGAGGGATCTGTGCTTTAAAGTGGAGTTTTTGGTCTAATTATTGGGTAAAAGTTGTAATTTGGGGCTGAATTTAGTGGCTGAAGAGTGAGAGGTGACTAAGATACAGCACTTAACTGATCAGACACGACAGAGAAGACAAGTACGGGATGCCTGGGGACAGTGCAGGAATCTGACTTCCAAGACAAGCGGTGTGTCTTGTGGTGCATTCCAACCTCAGCAAAACCATCCTGGTGTTTCAGTGGTATCAGCACTTATGTTCCTGTTAGACTGTCACAAGATACTCGCAAGTGATTTTTGGCAGAACACAGCAGAATTCTAGAGATGGGAAAACCATATGGGGTTGAACTGGTGACAAAATAAACATACATGATTGTTTCCAGTCAGAAACAATCCAGTTCTTCTACTGGGATTTGTTTTCAGAGTACAAGGTGTCTTTTTCATAGCCTGTATTTTGTTTTATCCCAGATTCAAAGACCACAGTCTCTTGTGTATTTCTACCTCTGGGCACCTGGGAAGGTAGAGAACATCTGAACTTCAGAATGTGCTGGACAGTGAGTGCTTGTTCAAACCTAAAAAAATGAATCCAGTTTCCAATTCTCTAAGTATTACTAGTACTGACTGAAACTCAATTGTAGCGCGAGTGTTAGCATGTTTGGAGGAAGAGGTGTAGGGACTGTGACCCTGTCTGCAGTTAAGTATTCTTCAAGTCTCCCATACTAAATCCCACCAAAAAATCCCAACAGAAAGAAGCATAATAGAAATTTATCCTAAGTTGTAGGAGCTTGGAGAACCTGTTGACTACCTTGGGATTTGATATCTTCCTCCTTTGAAGCAAGAAGAGGGATGGCACCTGAAAAGGTGGAAAAGAAAGGAGCAAAGAAAAGCTGGGGTTCACGAAAGGGGAAGCTAGTGAGCCTGGGAAAGGGGCATGGCAGTGGTACTCAGGGGTTTATGGTGGGGGATGGCAAGGATAAGGTGGGAAGAGTGCTGTTGGTGGTGTGGCAGAAGGGCAGGAGTGAATGGGTTGCTGTGAGCTAAATAAAGCACTTACTGAGTAGTACTTGGCTTGAGCACCTCTGAGGAAAGCACCCAGTGATCTCTGCTGCAGAGTTATGTCTTCATCTAGGTGCAGATCTGCTCTCCAGAGCAGGCAATCGCCTGGTCTCGAACATGGCTCATCTAGTACGTGAGAGACACAGTAGAGGATGTGCTGGCCTCAGAATGGTTTTTACATCAAAACCAGTTACATCGTATTGGCAGAAGCACCTCTCTTCTGGCCCGGAGCGCAGGGCTGTGCTGCGGTGTGTGCAGCTGTGCACAGATATGCACCACAGCTGGCTGCTGCGAGCGGCCCTGGGGCTGCCCGAGCCCTGGGGCATCTCAGTGCAGCCACAGCCATGCCGGGGCAGCTCCACGCCTGCCTGTTTTATTTCTAAACACATGAACATAGCTTTGGAGCACCACGTTAAAGGGATGGTTTAAGGTTGTAAAGGTGGGCGACAGCCTGAAATGACAGTGTCATGCTGAAAACAGCAGCGTGTCACCCCCTGCTCTCAAGTGGCTTCCTTTACTTTGTTTACTTTGCTGTGAGGGATCAGTGTGCTTTCTCTCTTCAAGCTGGTCAGCTCACAGTTGTTCAGCTCTTCTGACTCATCCATCCCTCTGCGAACTTCCAAGCGTGATCAGGTCTGACACAACCCAGATGTTACTCTCTAACAAATGTGTGTGCATCATGAGTTAAGTTCAGCCCCGGTACTGAGTCTCCATTCCTGCAGATGCAGGATGTGACCTCTCCTCTGTATTAACACTTTCTCATGTTAAACTGTTTTTTTCCACCAAGTAGCACCTATTTTTCCCTTACTCTTTTGTGAGAGGAACTTTGACGGGTGAGGGAATACGTAGCCTCTGCTGCATTGAAAGCATCAAGGAACAATGCTTAGACAGCGCTTCATTGGGAGTGATTGCTGCTTTGGTGATTGCAACAGAGACATCGGTGCTTCAAGCAACGAGGTGGTGTGGCTGGTGGTATGTCGAGACTTGCCATTTTTGTATTCATATCTGCTAGTTAATTGCTCCCAAAATAAAATAGCTGGTCTCAGCTTGCAGGTGCTCACAAGACAAATGCTAGGGATGTGTGTGTAAAAACAAGGAATACCTTGAGCCAGTAGGAAAAATGTGCTGATCAATGTTATTTTCCTACAAGCTTCTGTAACACTTGTATCAGCTGGGAGATTGCAATCTAAGTATCTTGTATAAATTGCTAAATCATTACCAACTGGCCAAACTAATATTTTATCTATTCTGCTGAACCTGTCCCCTCTCTCCTCCCAGTGGCATTACTAATCTGTGTGATGATTGACAGTGTACCCTTAGTCTGGGGTGTGAGAGCCATAAAAAGTCTGAATACCTCTTTTATGAAACATAGCAGTAAAATGGGGGCATGGCAACCCAAGCTATGAAAGAACCTTTGGAGAATATAGCTTGAGCTTCACCTGGAGACTGAAATAAAAAACAAAATAAAACAAAGAAACTGTAATTGAGAACACTGAGAATGCTCTTTTGTATCTGAAAATTGTGTACTTTTTAAAAATAAAATCCACAATTCAAAGAACTAAATGAGCAAATTAATTTTCCATTTTTGAAGGTAGCTGGCTAAATGAAACTCAAAATGCTGAATGTATTTAAGATCTTGGTTCCTCTTAGCAGAATTGTTGTGTGGATTTGTGTGTTGTTTTTTTTTTTGTTTTTTTTTTTTTGAGCAACTTCACCCCTGGTGTTATTTGACTAAGTAAATAAATACGTGCTGTTCTTAAGACATAGCATGAAGCATGCTGTTACCCAGCTAGCATTCAGTGTATTGCACTTGGCTACAAAAGGCCATGCACAAAATAATCCAGAAGTATTTGAGACAAGCCAAAAACAGTTTCCTACATTTCCCAATGTTTGTCTTTTCTTTTTAGCTTAGAAAGTAAGCTTTCTCTCTCTCCTTCTTTCCAAATATAGGAGGCTTGAAGTCTCTGCAGCAGATTCACCTGTGCAGTGTGGCAACTCCCTGCACATACCTGGCTTGTCTCTTTGAAGAAGAAAGAGCACTGCAAGGGAAACCAGTGCTGTGTTCTGCTGAAGGCTGCAAGCTGACCCAAACCCATCTCATGCTGCAGCTGCTCTTTTTCTTTTATAGGTAAGACAGAAAATATTCAGGAAATAATCCTTTGTAAGGTTTTTCTTTCACATCCTTTGCTTTCATCACACTAGATATTGCATCTAAGAAGAATTAATCTGAAGAGGCACTAATGCCTGAAAACGAATTCACTTACTCATGAAAAGAAATGCCAAAGCATCAGTTACCAGTTGTAAACTTAGTAGCATTAGCTTTACGGCAGTTAAATGATGTAGTTACTACTGCTCCCTGTCTCTGTAATATTTTAAAAATTATGTGAGCAGCTGAGTTGAGGCTTCCAGGCAGTATGAAGACCCAAGAGAGCAGAGGCTGCATTTACCCTGGCCCACTGGAGAGCACTCTAGTGTGCACACACATGGAACTTCAGTTGTTCACAGATGTTTTTTCAGGCCCACTGCAGTGTCCCCCAGCCTTGTGTAATATCTGTGTAGTTGTGCAAGATGCCCAACATCTGTGTACTCCTACAGCAGGAAAACCTGGTGAAAAGGTTGGTTTGTGCTGACCTGGAAGCTCTTGGCCTTGCAGCATCAAACTTTCTCCTCCCAAACGACACCACTGTCACGAAGAGCCAGGCCTTTGAGCAGTTTTTCCCACTAGATGGCATCGCCAGCCCGGACTTCAGCTCCTGTCGGCGGCTGGGAGTACACCAGGGCTGCGGTAGGGGCTGCTCTTGGTGGGGTCTGCTCCCGGCGGGGTCTGCCCGGGGCAGTCACATAATTCACACACGTTTCAAGTGGCTGCTCAGTCTCCACGATAAGACACAGCTTGCCCAGCTGCTGCTCTGTGGCTGGTGGTGCCCGTGCAGCTGCCGCGTTAGATGGTGGCAACCTCTCTGGCTTTGCAGCCACATGGCTGGTGCTAAGGTGCAAGGCCATGGAACATCAGTGTCATAATGTTTACCAAAACGTCTTGCTACACGGAGCAGGTTTTCGATGTACATTTAGCTGGCGGTGGTTTAGGTATCTGTCTGCACATGCCCAAGTCAAAGAGAAAAAAGCAGGGGTGGTGTAGGGAACAACCCACTTGCACACGAACAGAATTTAAAAAAGAAAAAATCAGCAGGAAGGTTTTGTGTTGCATAAGTGCCCCTGGAACTCATCTGGTACATCTCCAAGTAAAACAGCACTTTGATGCTTGCAACTTTCTGGGTAGAATGACAATATTATCCGGAGTTTGTTAGCTCTGTAAATATTTGCTGTAGATATTATCAATCGGCATGTTTTATGTAAAGAAGTATAATAATGTTTAAAACAAAGAAACTCTTCCCTGGCCTGTAAACACAACAACAAAAAGAAATTAAGTCATACAAAATATATTGAAATTAGTGATAGCTATTAAGTCTATTAAGTTGTGTGTTTTACAGGTGAACTGGAGCAAAAAATGCCCAGAGCCGCAGTATACCCCAGGGAGGATGAGGTGCAATGCCTGAAAGCCTCAGCAGGAGTGGTGTCCGAGGTACAGCCTGGGCTTGGCAGGTAACCATTCTCTGCTTTGTAGAGCTGTGGAGAATCAGAGGTGGCTCACCATCTCCTCTTACTTGGCATTGTGTACCAGTTTGGGGAATAAGACAAAACTTACGCTGTCTTCAGGCTTTGAAGCCCAGCTCAACTTTGTGCAAGTTTTTCATAGGGGCAGAGTTCTTTGTGCTTTTCCCCAGAAGTTGGTGAGGGTGAGGTGGTGGGTGATCAGGGTGAGTTGCTAACACCTGTTCTGCAGAACACAGCAAGCTAAACTTGTCATCCAGCAGGGAGAAGAGAAACATAATGCCATGAAAATTTGTATGGCCGTGGAAACGGTTAGCTGTCCTCAAACGGGCGCAACCTACAGGCTGTATTTGGTGTCACATTCCTACATGGATTGAGACAGCCTGAGCCTCTGGTCTGCAGTAGAGTGGACGTGGAAGAGAGACGAGTGGCTGTGCAAAGGCTTGCTTCCAAGTACAACTAATTCAAATTGGTCATTCCTATGCTGTGAAAAGTTCCAATGTCTAATTAAAGATTTGGACTGTAGTTGCAGAGGGGGAACTGAGTGAACTATAGGGACTACAGTTTGTCCAGTCTGTGCTGTCTTTCGCTTCATTTTTGGAGATGTCAAGGAAGCTGTGTCCCTTTGACTATAGGGTGCCAAAGGTGGTAGGTCCAAGTGTGAGTGAACAGATTAGAAAAAGTGACTCTGTACATCTGGCTGACTGTCAGGGAGGTGGAAGCAGAGGGCAGAAGAAGGATGTTGGTGTCACTTACAGTGCATACCCTATTGTCATTAATTTAATGCAACTAATTGCATACAAAGGCTGATGTACTAAAAGGGCATACTGGCATAGGAAGACCGCTCAAGTGTACCATGGCACATAACTGTCTTCCAAACTGTAAAAGCATTTATCTCACCTGTTAAGTTCTAGTGTTGCAGTTTATTTTTTTTTCTCCTTTGGAAAGTGGGAGAATGCGTAAAGGTGGTATTCTTGTTTGCATAGGGACCAAAACAATCCCTTTCCCAGATATGGTGTCCTTACCTGGCCAGGCAGTCCAGGTGAGGGAACGTGTCCTTTGATGCCTTGATGATAGCTGTCCTGGAGGAGTGATGTATGTAGTCCTGCCACCCTGAAGTGATTACGGTCTTTCCAAGTGAGTTATATTGTTGCTTATCAGACAGTGGGATGGATCATTTTTCTGGTGTTAGCAGTTGAAACTTGCATGAGAAAAATGTCCTGGTGGTGAAGAGAAGAAGCTTGTCATGAATGTGTAAAGCAAGTATAAAGCAAAACCTTGTATTTCTATCACTGGTAGTGTTGCTCTGAGAGCCAAATGAAGTTGTGTGTTGTTTTGGTAATACCTAGTTTGTGATGCTTCAGTGCTGAAAATGAATTTGTATAAAAATTAACACAAAAGCTTTTCACAGTTGCAGTAGTCCTAATGGCCAGTTAAGCAGACTGTGAGTGGTGTTACAGCCTCTGTGTGTTCCTGGGACGCACAACACATGGTGTGTGTGCTTCTGTGGTGCTCTGACCATATCCTTCCCACACCGCAGAGAAGGAAGTATTACCTGTTGTTGACCCAGCATATTAGCAGACAACATAAATGACCACTGCCGTTCTCATCGCTGATGGGGAGTTGTCATAGAGATGCTTCCAATGAGATGTTCTCTGAGGAGTTTTGCTGCAATGCTGAGATCCCCAATCTCTTGCATGGTAGCTTAATGCCCAGGCTGTCTTGTTTGGAGCTCTCTGTTATCTTGCAGTGTTATGCAGCACAAATAAAGCCACTTGCAATTACATGAGAGTATGTTTTGGCAAGGAAAATCTTTGGATATGAAACACATTGAAGTATTTAACTAATATTAGCTTTTTTTTTTTTTTTTTGCCAAAATATTATGGAACCTGTAAAAATAAAAACCCAAACCTCACCAAGAAAGCAAGATCTACATTTGTTCTCATTCAAGAACAAGTTTTCATTACCCATACAGTTGGTTGTGAAAAACCTAGCCCTCCTCCCTGTGGCTGCTGTGAGCTACCACGCACCAGGATCCTAGGGAGGGTGTGCACAGGTGTTGCAGGTTGCCCAGCACCCTGCTTCATCCTGCAGCATGCCAGAGGGGGAGGCACTTTCAGACCAGCCTCTGCTGGCCCCTTTCTGCCTCTGTATTCTCCAGAATAGCCCTGTCACCTTGGAAAAGGAGCCTCTGCTAGCTAATAACCCACCCCAAAGCTGCCATGCTTACCCAGATTGTGTGTACTTCCTTTTGTTGAAGGATTTTGAGCTTTCCCTGGAAGAGCGGCATAGCAAATGGCTCCCAGCCCCCTGTGCTCCATCCCTGGTTCGCTTCTGGGTGCTCTGCGCTTGCTCTTCGTGGCAGTGCTGAAAGGCAGGAACCAGGCAGTCCTTGTCAGGCAGCAGTGTTCGGGAGGGAAGGAAAAGGTCCTCTTTTATCTTGGTTCTCATGGAAAGTGTCACTGGACGTCTCACGTCCCTTCTGAGCAAAGACCTGTTGTTTCCCAGATCACGTCTGAAAGCCCACGGGGTATTCAGCAGGCCACTTAGTTTATCTCCCTTGGATAAACAAAAAAAGCTGCTGGAATTTGAAACTCGTTCCAAGAGTCTAGGGTCCAAAGCCTGCTGAAATCCGTGTGAGTCCTGCCCCTGGCCTGGGGCTTTGACTTGGCTTTAAGCATTTCACAGAGCAGCGGCAGCACGGCTCCTAACGGGGTGTGCGGGACCGGAGGCCACCTGCGTGCACAAGTCGTGGTGCTAAGTCCAGTCTGAGCGTTGCCTGGTTTAAAAATACCTCCTCAAGTGGCAGGGGAGCGCTGAACCACAAACCCCGGTGCGAGCTTTGCCTGCGTGGGGAAGAAAGAAAAGAAAGGAGGGGGTGGAAATAAGAGGTGGGTGCCCGGGGCACGGGGAGCCGCGCACCGGGGGCAGGTGGCGGGGCGAGCAGGGAGCTGCTTGCTGCCTCGGGGGGACCCGGGGGGCTCCGAGAGGGGGTGTCCCGGTTCCTTCGTGCAGCCGGGACGGAACCGGGGCTCTCCGCTCCGCCCCGGGTCCGCGGCGGCCCCGCTCCGCCCCGCCGCGTCCTGCGCCGGGGTCGGCGGGGCTGCAAGGGCCGCAGGTAGGGCGGGGGGCGCGGGGCGGGCGGGCAGGCGGCGAGGTGCGAAAGGCTGAAATGCAAGCCTGGAGTGCGGGGGGGCGGCAGGAGCCGCGCCGGAGAGGGAACGGAACAGCCCAAGGGTGCCCGCCGAGGTGGTCCTGCACCGCTCACCGGGTCCTAGGGGGTAGCTGTGGGGTGCCGGGGGGTCCCCGAGCCCTCTATGGGGCTGCCCCGGGTCAGGTCGGGGCTCAGGTGCGTGCCTGCATCGGCACCTGGCTGGCTCTGCGGGGAAATAACGCCCCGGAGGCGCTATCCCCGCGGCGGGCTGCGCTCCGCTGCTGTGCCGCTCGGCTGGGGGCTCGCCGTCGCCAAACGGGCGCTGTGAGTGGGGTGTCCGGGGCGGGCTGGGGTCTGCCGGCAGCCTTTGGAGCGAGCTGATTTCATGAAGTTAGCAGCCCGGCTGGGCTGGCTGTTGTTGTAAGCCTACTCCCGCGGCGGCGAGGAGGAAACGTTTCCGTTAGTGCTGGGAAATGCAGGGGTAGCGCAGAACTTAGCGAAGTGGGGCAGGATGGCATTTTGCTTGGCGTTTTGCACTGCGCCTCGTTAGGGCTCTCTTACTGCTCACCTCAAATCCTCGGCCGTTACGGTCTCTTCATGCAGAGTCCGTGTGGTTACATATTGCTTATTCTCTCATGCTTTTATTTTTCACTTGCATCGTACTTTAGTTTACTTTCCCATCTTTTACAGCCATGTAGTGGCAGCTGCATTTTAATCACAGGTTTCTCAGGGCTTCCGTTCAGGGCTTCCATGTTAACGATTTGAAAATTCAATCATTAACTTCTGCCTTACACTCCACTTGCAAAGTGATGACGACAGGAGAACCAGCGCAGCGTGTAACTTCATCTTACACAGCTTCACCAGAACTGGGGGGGGGGCCTTCAGAAGCCTCCCTTTCCCCAGCTTGTCCTGCACTATGCGTCCTGCTGCCCGAGGAGTGACCAGCTGCAGCGGGTCCCTGCCTGGGTGTCCTCAGTCCGTTCCCTCCTGCTGCGGTGAGGAGCAGGACGAGGAGACCCCGGGGATCCATCCCAGATCTGTATTCCTGCGCCAGCATCCCACGGCTTGGGCACGGGCAGGGGGGAAGATTTTTGAGATGTTTTGATGCAAACACAATTGCTTTCTCAGGGAGAAATTTGGCCTGCGTTTCTGTAGACAACCGTGCTTGCGTAAGCAGCCCCCTGCCACCCTCAGAGCCATACTAGTACAGCCCTTTGTGGGACTGGTGGAGAACCTCTTTGAGGAGCTGCTGCAGGTTCAGGAGGGCCCCTGCTCCGTGCTGGTCGGTGACTTGTAGCCCCGACCCGGCTGGCGACGCGGCCCTGCAGACGGCTGCTGCGTTGGGGCCGGGGGCAGGAGGTAAGGGCTGTGCTGCTGCTGCTGCAAGATTGTCTTATCAAGTTGTGGCTGGTAGTGGACAACATGCTTCTGGCAGGAGCATGACAAATGTAGCCGAACGCTCAGATATCTTAATGAGGTTGCCTGCATGTGCAGCTAGCTGTATGCACAAAGGACAGATCCTGTACTTCTGATGCAATGCTGAGTCTTCACCTAAAGGTATTTACTTTAGTGTTGTAGAGCTGTGTCTTTGCATTAATTCAGAATATGTTTCCTATACTATTCTCTTGTGAAGTATGAGGGTTTCAGAAGCCATTTTTTCCTGGCACATAGACCTAGGCATCATAAGGGTTTTATGAATCGCTTTATTTTCTGCTGGATAGACAGATACCTAAAATTCTGAAAGGGAAGATTAAGCCACTCCTGAGAGGGTGCCTGTAATCACAGAGTACAACTGTCACCTGCATGTAATTTATTCTCTTCTAGATATGTGTGTAATTTTAAATATACTTTTGAATGTAGGGTAGACCCACTGTTAAATTGTGAATGGCAGATGTGATTGTGCAAGCAGCACCATTTTAACTGATATGGTGAGACTGAACAGTCAGTGGAGCGTAAGCTTCCTATAATATGCTGTAATTTATTTCAATCTGAAAAGCACTGCTGCTTTTGCAAGTACTTTTGGGACTTGTTCTCACTCTTAGTTATACACCTTGTTTAACTGTCATGATCCTATTGCAGCCACTAAGAAAACACTCAGAGCACATCAGCTTCTTCTGCGTAGCATGTGTGCATTTGGAGAATGATGGTACACTTTATGTTCATGGAACTTGAAGGAGTGATTACTTGTTATTGCAATCTTCAACAGAGAAAACAGTTGTTTTTTTTTTTTTTTCTTCTAACCTAAAACATTGCGTGAGTTAAGAAAAATGTTATCTTTACTGTTTATCCTGCAATTGCAATTTGGATTTATATCTTATAGTCTTATGTAGATATGTTTAAAAAAAAAAAAAAAGAAAGAAAGAAAAGATAGACTTAAAAACATAGATTGAAAATATGTTAATTTTATCTGCTCTTTCTAAGAGGAAAGGAGTTTCTTGCCGGCAGCCATAGGAGAGACAAACAAATCTTTCATGTGCTGTATTATTGCCTGTATTAATTGACAGATATTGATGTGTCTGTGAGCAGCAAAATTGCAAGCTACAGCCTTTCTGCATGCAGTAGGCTCCCAGCCTGTGATAGGGAGGAATTTGGAAAGGTATAATCCTTTAAAACCAAAGCCCAAGACATCCAGGCTAATCACTCAATTTTTCTTCACTGAAGCTGAAGACATTTGCTGTTGAGCTTATTGGACTGTGGAGGCAGCTTTGCTTTCTTCTCAGGAAGCTGTCTGCACCTGTTCTGCTGTAGTAGGTGGTAGAGCTGGTGCCAGTGGGACCACAGAGCAATCGAGCTGCTCTGGATGAAGATGCCCACATGGATTGTCTCCTTGTCTCTCTTAAGCTCGTAGGGTACTGGATGTAACTGCATGCAGGGTAAGTTATGATCTTCTGTATTTATCTTTCTAGCAAGACAGGGCTCTAGTTGGATTTTGAATGCAGTTCTGCAGCCTGTGCACAGCCTTCGCTGTGGTGAGGGTCTCTGTGGGCTGGGTGCTTGCAGTTAGCCCTGCTTTGTGCTGTGCCTTGCAATCCTGCAGCACCTGCATTGCTTCAGACAGAAATGGGTTTGCAGTGTGAAATTCTCTCTGTTCTTCCTGTCTTACTGTACGCACAGGTCGGTGTAAGCAGGGACATCAGCTATTTCCTGCTGAATGTAACAGGCTCGTGCAGTTTGTGCATCAGGGAAGCAGGCACAAACGTGGGCAGCTCATGAAATGGCAGCTATGTTTTCTTGTATGGGGTCTCATTCAGCTCACCCGGGAGTCAGATATTTTTCAGGGGCTGTTTACTGAGTAGAAATCTGCTGGAGCTAAGGTTCCTCATCCCCCCTGCTTTTGGAAGAAGCATTCTGTTTTCAGCCCTGGAGGGAGAGGATTGGTGCTGTTTGCCTGGCTGTTTTAGATGATGCCCATCTGGCACTATCATAGGTACTGTGGCAGCACTGATCAGGATCCCTCAGAACCCAGATACAGCCTGGTGGCACATGCAGCATCTTTCCTTTCCCCGTAAAGACAAGATCCCTGGTTCATCCCTGCTGAATTTAAAGCTGTGCTGGCCCCAGAAGCAGTAGATCATTATTTTGGCAGCAAAATAACACTTGGTAGTAAGATGAGCCAGCAATTTGTGGCAGCCTTATTCCCCAGAGTCTGTGACAGCTGAGGATTGTCGCTCTGCCTCAGGGGAACGAGATAATGTATTTTGTTAGTGAGCTGGGATGAGTTTACTCTTCATTAGTAAATTTAATCACTTACTTTGCATACAATACAAAAGCCATTGAAAAGTTGCTTCTCAGCTATGGTTCAGCGTTGAAGAGTTGTCGGCTACCCACAAAGCAGCATGTGCTTACTTCCTTTCCTTGGCACTTCTAACAAATGAAGCAGCACTTTCCTGCTGCTGTTTGTTTTGTATGTCATATTTATTAGTTTCTGCTTGTTTCGTTTGCTGGGGCAATGAACCGAGAAAGCAGTAACTGTCTTTAGCGTTTGCTTTTGGTCAGTTACTGCATTTTATGAAGGGATTATTGGACCCTTTCTCTCTTCTTCTGATGGTTTTATTGTAAGATAATTTTATTGGCTTTGGTATGAATGTTGTTTCAGGGTGTGATGTAAATAACAAGTGTGAACGGATGTAAAAGAGACCATTGCTACATGTGTATTTTATGCCTGGTATATGTTTTGGATGTATCTCCACATTCGTATGCACCAGGAAATGGATTTGCAAGATGGTGCAAAGTGTAAGTTGGGTAAGTCCACCTAAGTGAATTGAGCTACAATTAATGTAAAAACAATGCATCTGAGTTAAATTGTACTCCTAGAAAATGCTTTTACCTATTAAACATTGATTTTCATTAACCATTGTGGTTATCACAAGAATCTATTAGGGTTCTGTGGAATATTACCCTTGAGTGCTTTCTGAATGGTAAGTGTATTAGTTGCTGCCAGAAGATCATCACAACAGCATCCAGAAATAATAATGGTAATGTTGCAGCCCTTAGCCAGATGTGGATACGTAATTATAAT